CGGTGGTCTATTCAAGCTTAAAAAACGCTCGGAGTGCGGATTACGTGTACGTAATGAAGAATAGCGAGCCAAGTGAAAAATAAAGCTGCTTCTGACTCGGCAATATAGGTTGAGAAGCCTATGCTATTAAGAACGATCGATGTTCGACAGTGTCATCGACACTGACATTGATGTCAATATCAACGTGTACAGGGTGTCCCAAAATTATTGTACAAGCGGGAAACCAGGGATTCCTGAAGTCATTCGGAGCAACATTTTCCTTGGCGAAAATGTTCTACGAGGCTTCGTTTACGAGTTATCAACGAAAAACATGGACCAATGGGAGAGCGAGTTCGGTCGCGTCGGCCGTATAACGCTGCGACTGTGGTCGCGAGGGCGGGGCGTCGGCTGTACGCGATCTCTCATTGGTCAGTGTTTTTCGTTGATAACTCGTAAACGAAGCCTCGTAGAACATTTTCTCTAAGGAAAAAGTTGCTTCAAATGATAGAGCATATTCAATGGAAAAAGCTGTGTTCACGGATGAAAAAAAAAAGACTGAATTTGGATGGTTCAGATGGATACCACGTGCAAATAGATGTTCGTACCTAAAAATCTTGAGATCATTTCTGTCCACCAGTGTAAGAAATAATGGCGTGTGGGTACATTTTTAGAGGTTTTAATATGGCCGAGTTTATGGCGCGGACAACCGTAGCTCGTTAATTTAGGGAGATTACGAGCAAGTGGTACTCCGCCATCGTAAACTTAATATTGGAGTTCCGACGCTAAAACTTAATTTAATACTGTACAGTTTAATGAATAGTTACGTTCATCTTATCTTCATTATACATCATTTATCCTAAGCTTCATAACTCGATCGCGGATCTTTATGCATTCGTGGCACTTACGCGTTTCTGAACTGCTAAAAGCAACGAATATTAACAAATTTATTATTATCTATTATTATATTATATTATATTATATTATATTATTATATTATATTTTATTATATTATTATATTATATTATATTATATTATATATCTATTATTTTGACTATAAGAAATTTTCTGGCTGTTAAAAGAAGATCGTTTAACATTCTGGTCCTTATATCAAACGTTTTCTATGCATTTTTGCATTTTATTAGATTTCACGCATTTTTCACTAAATTCATTAGTCGAGGCAATTTTTATTTCGCATAAAAATCCGCAGTCTATTCATGACTGTAGAAAATAGAACAAAATGTAAGCCTCCACGATATCCAGGACCTATCGCGTGACCTTGATAGCTAGACCAGAGCTGACTTTGCCAATTTAACCACCCTCATTAACGACACAATTGAAGTTCTTCTGAAAAAGGCAGATTCAGCGTATAGAGTGTAGAGCGCTGATTAAACGGTGTCTAAACCTTTTCGAATAACAATTTCGGAGGACACGCGGCTTCGACTAGAAATGGACAGTTTGGGAAGACGAGATACGATTATTATAGATAGATAGAAATACTATAAGTTAGAAAAATGATTTTATATTTAGAGCTAAAATAGCTTCGAGTGCAAAGGGCTAATTAATTTTCTCAGCGCAGTGGAGCTTAATTCGTCCCATTTATTTCTCGAATGCTTCTATAAATTTTAATTTTGCGTATCCTTCAATTACTGTTATTTCACGACCTAATTGCTCCCATAAATGCTCGATCGGGTTCAAAATAATTCAATAATTATATTCTCTTCCGAAATTGTCCATCTTCGTGCGCGATCTAAGCGCGAATTAGGGAGAAATGTATTCAGAAGCTCTGTACAGTAATGTCTCCCTTACTGACGCTCAGGTTGTCCACTAAATTGGACAATTTCGGAAGAGGAGATACGATTATTCGAGCCTTGCAGCTCGTTTTTATAGTTGTCGACAATTTATAACTATAAAATTAAACCGCAAGGTTCGAATAATCGTATCTCCTCTTCCCAAATTATCCATTTTAGTGGACAATCCGAGCGTCAGTAAGGGAGACATGGTACTGGTACATGGTGCACGTGTTCCACCTGGCAAGTATTTATTTCGTCCGAGTACTGTCCAGATCCGTACATCCAAGCGATCAATCAAGGAATCTTAGTGGGGGGTGGAACAGCCTCCCCCGACGGCTTCGGGTTCCCGAAATCGATTTTCGCGAGGATTCGAGAGTACAGTCGGTTTTTGTTCGCTCGCCGGCACGGCGCCGTAAAAGCGTCTTGGGAAGTTTGGGGCCGATCGGTCTCAGAGACGTCTTCTAAAAGGCCTGATTAGCGGGGCCGAGTGGCGAGGAACATGGTCGTACGAGAGATCCGCATCTACTGTGACATACGGCGGCTCCACGATGTGCCGAAGCAACGGAGGAAAAGGGTGAATGCGGTGAATGGGGGCTATTAGGGCAAAGGGGGTCGTCGGATGCGTGCGATGCAACATGCAGCGGCCCAGCGTACGGCATTTATTAAAGGGGAATAAAAGGGGAGAAAATGAACGAGATACAACCGAGATACGACTGGCGAGTGCGCCGGGGGCGCGGGGATGCGGGCGAGGACGATTGACCACCGAACGAAAATATTGTACGCAAGAAAAATAATTTAATTTTTGCAAGAGATTAAAATAATATTTGAAGTAAACAGTTATATATTTGATTATTTATATTTTATTATATTATATATTATATATTATATATTTATTATATATTTATTTATATATTTACATTTTATTATATCTTTATACAGTTATAAATTTGAAGTAAACAGTTTTTAAAATTTTTGTCATTTTATTTGGAGCTATAATTAAGGATTATATCATTTTAGTATTATACATGAAAAATAGTTTTATCCTTTAATTATATTTCCTTATTTATAAAATTATTTGTAAAATATTCCTCGATTATGTTCCCAAATAAAATAGTAAAAAATTGAAAAGAAAAACACGTGCTTGCGAAAGTTACTTTTATTGTCGTTTTATTTCGTTCGGTCGTTCAGTGGCAACCCTGCATAAAGTTCTCTCGCCGCGTTCAATTTAGTGGTTTTTTAAATAAAAAATTCTGCTCATATTTCAGCAATTATAATTTATTCGGGACGACACGGCGTGCGAGGCGAAATTGGAAAATCGACGTGCGGTATGAAACTGTCTAGCATCGACGTAATGGGATTTTGAAAAATATTATTAGGAATTGAAATTGTAAACTTTTATCGTCGATCCCGGTCGCATTAAAATTTCGGCGCGCACGCGGTCGTTTTGGTCGGACTCGATTCGAATGATCACGGAGCGATGCCGGGCCTTTAATTCAATTTCCTCGGTAACTCGATTCCCGTCGTCCACGATGCATGAAACATTTAATACGAGCCACCCGGTATACGGCAGCTGCGCCACCGAACAGCTGACGTTCGCGTACGGAAAAGAGGTGCTTTGTAAATTCATTGTTTTGCGCGCTCTCGTTTACGGTTCTGCTTTGTTAACGCGTTTCGATGTGTGAGAGAGCGAGAGCGAGAGCGAGGAGAGAGAGAGAGAGAGAGAGAGAGCGAGAGAGAGAACGTAAGAGAGAGAGCGCTCGAGAGAGAGAGCGCTAGAAAGAGAGCGCGAGAGAGAGAAAGAGAGCAGTTATTGAACAATTATTATCCATCTTCGTGCGCGATCTAAGCGCGAATTAGGGAGAAATGTATTCAGAAGCTCTGTACAGTAATGTCTCCCGTACTGACGCTCAGATTGTCCACTAAAATGGACAATTTTGGAAGAGAAGATACGATTATTCGAGCTTTACAGCTCGTTTTTATAATTATTGACAATCGACAATCGTAAAAAACGAGCCACGGAGCTCGAACAATCGTATCGTCTCTCCCAAAATTGTGCATTTTTGTGCGCAATCCGAGCGTGTCAATTAGAGAGACATTACTGTACCGCCTGCGTCGAATCATGTCAGATCTCGATAAGAATTTCGACGGTTAAATCGCGTACCGATCGCGTCCGATACACGCGCGAGTATCGTCGAGTTCCGTTTAGAAGATCGGAACGTATTGGCCTGGAAACGTTGGCATCGATTCGGCGTCACTCTCATCAGCGGCGATCGCATCATCGCCGCGCAGTCGGATGCGTCCGACTGTTCCGCAATTATCGGCAGAGGGAATCAAGACACTGCGGCGAAGAGCGGGGTCGGCACTCTGGTGTGCGCGGCGCGCGCCGTGTAATTCGCATTGTTTCACCTCGTTAACGTTTATTCCGACCGGATCGATTCGCCGCGGCTACGATTTGAGCTTAATTAATTTTCGCCGGTGTTTATCGAGCGATGTCGGCCGACGTTTAATAAAACTTAATTGGTTCCTCGGCTGTGTTCTCGTCGACGACGACGGCAACGATCGTGCTCTCGATGCGACGGATTATCCGCTTTGATTCGGCACGATGGAGCGCGTGACGATACAAGTGTCCCGCCCTCGCGTTTGTTCGCGAACTGTTGAAATTATGGATGCTTTCGTTCTCAAGTTCAGAATTAACTTTCAATTATGGATATGCTGCGAGCATCGGCGCCGCGCTCGACGAATAATCGTTGCAGCGAAGCGGTTCAAGTGCGCGAACGATTTCGATAGAACGTCGATCGACCTAAAATATTTTCTAAAATTTAGCAAACAGGAAATATATGTTAAAAATTTTTTATAGCAAATAAAGCCAGCCCGCGATTTCAAATTTAATTTCAAATAATAACGCGTTAACAAATGAAATTGTTACGAATTATCTCGCAACAGATGCGATCAATTTTGCTTTCCTTTTCTCGAAGAAATAGTTGCAACAATTTCGGATCGTCGCGACCGAAGAAAATGGTACGGTAAGGGGTTGGTTAAGGGGTTGGAGCAGCCCCCTGATAATCTCGAAAGTGAAAACGGGGACGTTTCTCTTCGCAGCCACAGATATTATTATTATTATTATTATTATTATTATTATAATATTATTATTGGTTAAATTATGACGAACGAGCGACAGAATGAAAGTCGGTTTCCGCGCGGCGAAATATCGATTTAGCCAAGTTCGCTGACCTTGTGATGAGAGGAATGGCCCGTGTGATTGGCGGAGGTGTGATTTCCGGCGGGAAGAGATGCCAGGTCCTCGATGGTTAATTCTGCTAAGGCGTCGTTGCCGCCGCTGCAACCGCCTAGCAAGCCGCCTGCAATGACGCCGCCGCTTCCTGGACTGCCCCCGATGCAACCTCCATCCGACCTTACAACGTTCGCGGAGGGTCTCTTCTGCACCCTCCTCGAGGTCACCAGTTCCTTCACCCCTGACAACTCTCGCCTCGAACCACCCACGTACCTGAAAACAGCACGCGCGTCTCTCGTTATCGGTGCTCGCGTTTCAACAACAGCGATGCAACTGAAACAATAGTTGCAGTCGACAGCTGTCAAGGTTATATACATATATATAAGAAAAATAAATCGCAAGGCTCGAATAATCGTATCTCCTCTTCCAAAATTGTTCATTTTCGTGCACAATTTCGGCGTCAATTGGGGAGACATTACTGTACTGCATTGTCTCCCTAACTGACGCTCAGTTTGTGCACTAAAGTAGACAATTTGGGAAGAGGAGATACGATTGTTCGAGCCTTGCGGTTTATTTTTATAGTTATAAATTGTCCACAATTATAAAAACGAGCCGCGAGGCTCGAATAATCGTATCTCCTCTTTCCAAATTGTCCAATTTAGTGGACAACCCGAGGGTCAGTAAGGGAGACATTACTGTACAGAGCATCTGAATACATTTTTCCCTAATTCGCGCTTAGATCGCGCACGAAGATGGACAATTTCGGAAGAGAATATAATTATTGAATTATTTTGAACCCGATCGAGCATTTATGGGAGCAATTAGGTCGTGAAATAACAGTAATTGAAGGATACGCAAAATAAAAATTTATAGAAGCATTCGAGAAATAAATGGAACGAATTAAGCTCCACCGCGCTGAGAAAATTAATTAGCCCATTGCACTCGAAGCTATTTTAACTCTAAATATAAAATCATTTTTCTAACTTATAGTATTTCTATCTATCTATAATAATCGTATCTCGTCTTCCCAAATTGTCCATTTTTGTACACAACCTGAGCGTCAGTAAGGGCGACATTACTGTAGTTCTATCACGAGAAGAAACTTCGTTTTATTTATTGCTCTAGATCGAATTAGACTACGAAGAGCGACGAACAGTTTCGTTTTACGATATAAGAAAAAATAGCCGAAAGATATCCTTGTTTCAACGATATACTCGAGGCCCTCCCCTTTAAATTTCCAAGAATACCCCCGGGGCACAATGGTTTCTATTGTTTAAATGCCGGGACGTAAATGTTGTACAGCCTGTACCATCCGAAACGGCCGAAGGCGTTCCACGAACTATTATAATGGTAGAACTTTTCCGTTTACAGAGACGGCCGGATAAGATAACGCTAGGAATATCAAGTTGGATACGCTAGACAATGGGAAGCCTCGGCAGAGTTTCTTTCGCGTCGCGAACGTTTTAAAAGACTTCGGAGACCACCACCTGTCCCGTGCCTACGGATCGTGCCAAATGAGGCTGGATTTTTGAGTCCTACAGAAATTGCTCTATTAGCGGGATTAGATCCGCGAGAACCAATCCACTCGACCGACGGTGTCCGTCCAGCGAGCCTGTTCCAAATCGATGAATCGCTCTCGTTCACCTGTCCGTCCTCTCTTTTTGCGAGTCTTCGTGTGCTGCTTGTCAATTAAAAAAGCGGACAAAAGTTATCGGAACGTCGCTCATTCGCTAGCTTCGCGTAGCAAGGGTTTCCGGAGCAAATGCGTTGGAGCTTCGCGTGTCCAACGTTTTTCGCGAGTCGCGAGTCGAATTTTGCGGCAGATAATTATTACAGAACAGAAATTTTGGAAAATTCTAGCTTCCTCGAATAATTTTGGTAACACTTTGAATATATATATATATATAATATATATAATAAATGTATAATATATATATATATATATATATATATATATATATATATACATCGTAGGTAATAAAATAAATAATAATAATATAATATAATGTAATAAAATATTATAATAGAATAATAATAAAATAACCGCGACAAATTTACATTTAGAATTAATTTAAAATTTATTACACAAAGAATTAATTTAAAAGTTATTCAGCGGTCGACTTCTTATGAATTTCTCGAACACACGAAATCATCGCAAAATGCTATTTATATTGACACAGGTTTGCCCATTTTTACTAGCTATTTATAGGGCGAAGAAAAATGGCGACGGCACTTGTATTTTTAACCCCGCGAGCACGAACGCTGCGGATTCTTTTCTCGCGAACAAAAGCCGTTTGCAAAGTTCGAAATAAAAGGTTCGAAGAGATAACTTTGTTCCGATTGATGCTTCTATAAATACGCTAACGGGGGCCGGGGAATTGTAATGCTCTTTGTAGGTCATCTTCTTTATACCGATAATGCCGAACTAATGCGAATTTCGTTCGTGGAAACGTAGGTTTTCCGCTTCGAATGAATTCTTTCACAGAAATGATTCACCGTTTATCGATTCACCGAATTAACCGTTTCGACGGTACAATGCGCCATTTTCCGGATCAGATTCATCCTTTTACGTTAATTTAATTATACACCGATTTGCTGCTAAATTTAAAGACTGAATTACGCTTTATAAATAATATCGAATATTATTATATTATTATATTACTGTATAAAAATTTATTAAATTAAAAATATATTATTATAATAATATATTAGTATTATTATATTAATAATATATTTAATAAAATAATTATTATTATAATAATTAAAAATGTATTATTATATTACTATATAAATTAACATTAAATTTTACAGTTGAATAAAAGACGCCAATATTTATTCGAAGCAACTTTTTCCTTTACAAAAATGTTCTCCGAGGCTTCGTTCACGAGTTATCAACGAAAAACAACGACCAATGAGGGGCGAGCTCGCGGCTGGCGCTAGGCGGCCGAGCCAATGAGCGGAACTGGGCTTCGTGCGCTCGTTGGCTGGACTGCTTCGCGCCAACCGAGCTCGCCTCTCATTGGTCAGTGTTTTTCGTTAATAACTCGTGAACGAAGCCTCGGAGAACATTTTTGTGAAGGAAAAAGTTGCTTCGAATCGCCTCAGGAATCTCTAGTTTCCTGGAAGTACCATAATTTTGGGACACATATATACATACGATAATTAATAATTGCAGATCAAGTTTCAATGTAATGTCAAGGTTGGCATAACCTTAACCAATCATTTCATCATTTAGATACATCATCAACTAGTAACTCGAACAAAATATTTCGACAACAAAATGTTCTCTGATCAGGATATTACGAAAATAAATGTTCGGATAAGAGAGACCAGTACGGTTATAGAACGCGATCTGTAAATATTGCTCCGGTTGTTCTATAAACAACCCAATATTCCACCGACGACGTACTATAAACAATTTTCAAATAAATCGAGCGGAAGTCGATACGGTAATAGCCGATATTCGCGAACATACTCGCGACCGGATACTTTTGGACTTTAGTGTATTCCGATTCAAAATAGGTCCTGCAATGGTCGGGTCGCGATCATTAAGCTGACAGGGAAAATTTTGAGTCGACGGTTTTGCACGGCCAGACCCGTCGGCCAATTAACTCGAAAGTAGTCGAAGTCCGAACTTGAACGGGCGATCGCCGGAGGACAGCCTCCGTTTTCCATTCGGACACGTTGCGCCGCCAGCAAATTCGCTGACGCGAAATCGCAGGAGGTCTCGTGGACTATCGCGCGATTAATAATTCACGAATCACGCGCGCGCGCGCGCTTAGGATTACTACGCTTACGCGAGCGCGCTTAGGATTACTACGCTTACGCGAGCGCGCTTAGGGTTACTACGATTACGCGAGCGCATCGGCCGGCTGCGAGACTCTCTCTAATCGCTAACGCGATTAACGCACCGCGCTCCGACATTTTCTCGGGCCAATTGCGTTCTCTTTTCTCTTTTCGTTCGAATTACAGTAATGTCTCCCTTACTGACGCTCAGATTGTCCACTAAAATGGACGATTTGGAAAGAGAAGATACGATTGATTACAGTTATAAATTGTCCACAATTGTAAAAACGAGCCGCAAGGCTCGAATAATCGTATCTCCTCTTCCCAAATTGTTCATTTTCGTGCACAATTTCGGCGTCAATTGGGGAGACATTACTGTACTATAATGTCTCCCTAACTGACGCTCAGATTGTGCACGAAAATGAATAATTTGGGAAGAGGAGATACGATTATTCGAGCCTTGCGGTTTATTTTTATAGTTATAAATTGTCCACAATTGTAAAAACGAGATACGATTATTATAGGTAGATAGAAATACTATAAGTTCGAAAAATTATTTTATATTTAGAGTTAAAATAGCTTCGAGTGCAATGGGCTAATTAATTTTCTCAGCGCGGTGGAGCTTAATTCGTTCCATTTATTTCTCGAATGCTTCTGTAAATTTTTATTTTGCGTATCCTTCAATTACTATTATTCCACGACCTGTACCACGACCACGACCAATAATTATATTCTCCTCTTCCGAAATTGTCTCTCTTTGTGCGCAATCTACGCGCGAATTAGGGAGAAATGTATTCAGAAGCTCTGTACTACGATGTACAGTAATGTCTTCTTAATTGACGCTTAGATTGTCCACTAAAATGAACAATTTAGAAAGAGGAGATACGATTATTCGAACTTTGCGACTCGTTTTTATAGTTGTCGACAATCGATAACCATAAAGAAAGAGCGACAAGGCTCGAACAATCGTATCTCCTGTTCCAAAATTGTCCACTTTTGTGCGCAATCTGGGCGTCAATTAGAGAGACATTACTGCATATCCTTCGTGAAACAACAACGTCGCAGTTGTGTCAAGGTTCTCTCGTACGTTTCTCGTGAATTTCACGCCGTTACAAGACGATCGGATTCCGTCGCGGAAAAACGTGTTGCGTTGTTACACGCGCGGAGAACATTCGTGAATCGCGTCGCACTGAAATAGACGATATTCACGTCAACTTTCGAAATGCATTCGCGTGTTTACGAATTATATCGCACGCTCGAGTTACGTGGCAAGAAGAAGAAGAAAAAGAAGAAGAATTTCTTCCAAGGTGCAATATTTCATGCGTTCGACGGGCCCGTATTAAAAGGAACACGAATTCGCACTTTGCTCGAGACGAAACGAAAGCGAAGGACGCGGAGAAAGTTAGCTAGCAGCTGTCGCCTGAAATATTCATATTCCCCGAGGAAAAATCACTTTTCGCAGGCTCGTCTCTCGGTCACAATATTTT